GATGCTGTGCTGGTGGAAGTAGGAGAAAGCAGAATTTCTCCTTCCTTCAGGCTGGGGTAAGCACCATGGTGAGTGGTGATCCCACCCTGTTGTTGCCACCCTCGTGGTGCCCCTGTGGAGCCGTGCAGGTGGAACAGGAGGGTGGCTGTGGCCCCTTGCTGCCCAGTGTGTGTGGGTAAGGATGTTCCCTGCTCCGTGAGCACCTGCTGTGGGCAGGTGTCTTCCTCCAGATGTGCACCTCCCTCCAGATGTGCCCCTGGTGGAGCAGCTGCTTTGGGGAGGCTCAGGCATGGTGGAACCAAGGTCTGGGCTGTGTGGGAGCAGTGAGCTGTGTGTGGCTGAGGAGCTGCTGGGGACAGGTGGGGGGGACAGGGTGCTCATCTGTCACCCCTTGGAGCAGGGGCTCATCGGGTAACTCCGGCTCCATCTCCCCCGTGAGGGATCCGAACCAGCTCCCTCCTCCTCTCCCCATTATTTGTGCTTTCTTCTTGCCTGCCGTGATATTTTTACCTTCAGTTCGTTCAGATTATATGATCAAAGGAGCCACAAAGGGGAGAGAACAGAGAGGGAAAACGCTTAAAAGAAGAAAGGGAAAGGCAGTGGGCTCTGGGGGCACTGCCAGCTCTGCGGGAGCTGCCGTGGGCTCTGAGGGTTTTCCTGGGAGCAGCTCCATGGTGTGAGCATCCCACCTTTGATGGGCAGAAGTGTTGCAGCTCCAGGGATGAGGGTGGGAGAGCTGACCTGCTTTTGCCTGGTGCGGGGCTCTGTGGTGTCTGAGCATCCCTTCATCTCCCCATCCTCCTCCTCAGCACGGGCAGAGCCTGACCCGCTCCCAGACCGTGCAGGAGCCTCATTCCCCTGCTCTGTGCCCACTGGTGATGCGTGGTGTGGTCCTTGCAGGGGAACAGGACCATGCAGAGGTCTGATCCCTGTCCCTGATCCCCATCCGAGCTGGGCTCTCTCGGCAGGCTGGGGCGGGGGTTTTGCTGCAGCATTCCCAACCTCCTGCCTTTGGAAGCACGGAGCCGGGCACCGGGTAATTCTGGTTCCTTAAAAGCCCCGGCTGTCAGAATCGCTTTGGAGATGGGCCTTCAAGCGGCTGCGGCGGGCGGGGAGGTGCATAATTTATGGAGGTGAGTTGAAACCTGGGTCCTCCTGGCTGGGATGGCTGCGGAACAACGGGAGCACCTTGGGGCTGGTGAGACTCTGTCCAGCTTGGGTGCCGGCTCTGGGCTTGAGCTGAGATTAATTTAAGCTGTTTCCTTGGTCTCGCTGTTGCTGCTCGTCCTGCCTGGGGAATGCATTTGCCTGCTCGGCTCCTCGCTGCTTTTGGTGCCTGCATTAATCATGCGCTGCCCTCAGCATCCATCAGCGGCTGCTGGGAGACGACGGCGGGGATGGGCATGAGGGCGAGCCTGCCTCGGGGGGAAACTGAGGCAGGGGCTGTGCTGCTGGGGCAGGGACAGCTCAGGTACTGTCGATATCTGCTGCTGGAAGCCGTCGATAACGGAAGCAGCTGCTGGTGCAGGAATCAGTGCCCTGAAGGGAGAGCGGCAGGAGCGCGGGGCTTTGGGTTGTTACTCGGATCTGGAACGCTCGGTTTCGGCACAGCCTGGCTCTAGCTGAGGATGCAGACCTCAGTCTGTGGGCTCCAGACAAGTGGAAGGTGACTGAAAAACCAGCTGGGAAAAGTAGGGGTGTTTTAGGATAGTCAGGGAGCAGGGCTGGGGGTGTGTGTGGGCTTTGCTGCACTCTGAGCGCTTTCCTTGGACACCCTCTCAGTTCCCTTAAGAAGGGACAGGGCCCCCTCTGAGCTGGTCACTGACCTGTGCTGCTCTGTGGGGCAATGTCCCCGAGGCCCCAAATCTATTTTTTGCAATAATCCCCAGTGCTTATTTCCTCTGATGAAAGCCTGGAACAGCCAATGTCCTTTTCCCGCTCCTGCCTAATTTTCTCTCCCCTTTTCCCCATCCCTCCAAGGTCTCCGGAGGAAGGACCCGAAGCTTTGCGTGGGCTCGTGGCTCTGCTGCTGCCTCTCCTNTTCCCGCGCTGGGAATGCTCCCGCCTGGGGCCGTACGGGGGGATGGTGGTGGTGAGCCCACTATGCGTGATCCCCCATCGTTTTCCCCCCTCTCTGTATTTTGGGCTGGCGTGGGGGGTTTGGTGTTCCTGTGGGGGCAATCACCATGTGCCGATGGCCAGAGCACGATGCTCCTTCTGTTTGCTGCCTCCTCACCAGGTCAACCCCCACAAAAGCTTCTGGTTCCCATGTGGAGGCAGCAGCAGTGGGGGCTCCATCCCCGGGGCTCCCAGGCCGCCTGGAGGGTGCTGTGATGTCAATTTAAGGTGTGATATTAATTTAATGTGGGATATGAATTTAATTAATGTGTTACTGCAGCACCAGTGCTGAAAGGTGAGGCTGCTGTGGGAGCAGGTTCTGCTCGCTGCACAGAGGGGTTTGGGGGTCGTGGGTGGCCCCAAGGCTCTCCTGGGCTTTAGGCAGCTGCTGGGCTCAGTCTGCAGTGGAGAGCTTCCATCAGAATTCCTCTGCTCTGTTCGGAAGGGGTTTGGGTCAGTCTGGAGTCAGCTGAGATCAGCTCTCCAGTGAGGTACCCCAAAATCCAGGTCTCCACTGTGTCACGGCAGTTTCTAACACAAGTTGAGCATTTGGGGTCTTGTGGTGCTTTTCCTTGATGGGATACCAGGAAATCCTCAGCATCCCGTTGTGCACAATTTCTGCAAACCCCTGAGAAAACAACAATCACAAGTTTCATGGAAACTGATTTAGGTGCTTTTGACCATCCTGACTAAGGGTTGAACTCTGACGAAGATCTGAACTTCAGACTGCTGCATTTAAGTTTCAGTTTCAGAAAAGTTTTTATTAAAAGATTTTAAAAAAAAAGACCCTTAAAAAGATGAAATGTGAAAGAATCAATATCTGCCTGTGCAAAACTGCTCTTGCAGGGAATGTTTGTGAAGAAAAACAAACCAAACCCAGCCAGGCTTGGGGCACTTCTTTCTGCTAACTGTTATTTGGATTTTTCAAATCCCCTACAAATTCCCCTGCCTAAAACACAATCGGAGCAGTGCCCCCTTATCACAATTAAAAAATGAAACAAAGATGGGGGGAAACCCTCCTGCAAAAGGGTTCCTGCTCCCAAACACCTGCAGGAAGAGCAGCACACCCTGCCTGCACCCTGTGCAGCTCCTGATCCAAGCTCTGCTGGGTCTTCCTGTCCCAGGGCCTTGTGTCCGTCCAGAGGTTGTTTGCAGACCCAAAATACCCAATTTTTGTGGTTAAAATCAACGTTTTTTTCCACCTGCAGGCAGCCCTGCTTGGGTTTGGATGTGCCAGAGTGCTTTTTACCCCAACGCTGCTGCTCAGGCTTCCCCTTTGCCGTGAGCCCAATGAGGAACTTGGTTTGTGTGCTGGCAGAGGCTCATTGTTATTAATATTCCTCGTTATTTACTGTGCACTGCCCGTGAATGGCAGCAGCCCGAGTTCTGAAAGCAACCGGGGCTGCTCTGCTTTAATCCCTCAAAGTTTGGGCAGCTGCCCACTCCCTGAGCCCACGCTGGAGCCCCCACACCGGGCTCACCCGTGGGGTGACCATTTGGTTGTAAAAGAAAACCAGAGCTGCAGGGGTGCCCCAGAACTAGAGAGAGGTGGGGAGATGGCCTAGCAGACAGGTACAGGCACACAGCCACGTGCAAGGAGGGCAAAACAGCGAAAAACCCGGGCTGGAGCAGAGCCCAGGGCTGGGCCTAGGGCTGCACTCCGGGACGAACATTTTCACTTTTGTTTCTGCACTTGGGTTCCTGATTTACAGCTCGCGGCCGAGTGGGTTTGGGAGCAGGGCTGGGCGAGCTCCCCCATCCTGCCGTTGAGCTCTGCAGCCACAGAGGAAGTTGAAAATGGCCTGAAACGGGGAAACAAATGATTTATTATCCCCCCATGGCAGCTGAGCCCAACGTGGGGCACGGCAGAGCAGCCTGTGCCGGGTCGGGTGGCATCGCATGGAGCTGTGCAGCCCCGGTGGGATGAACATGCTGGGAACCCCCGGGATGTGAACGGGGATGTCCCGGAGCCCCGAACACGCTGGGAACCCCCGGGATGTGAACGGGGATGTCCCGGTCCCGGTGCTCGCAGTTTGGCCGGCCATGGCGAGGGAGGACAGGGACAGGGACGTGGCCTTTGTTTCCCCTCCCGGCTTTGTTTCCCCGATGGCCCCATTGATGAAGCCCCATGCGGCCAAACAGCCCCGGACCCAGCCCAAACCAGGCCTGGTAATTTCATTAAATGGCTCATTCCTCCTTCTCACCCCTGGAGCAGATTAAGCTCTCACCAGGGCAGCGTTTTGCTGCAGCCCCATTCTGGGGACAAATTCCTAAATCACCTGATAACTTACAGGCTTAAAGCGCCGATTTGAGCCCGGGGTTTGCAGGGCACAGCCCCAGGCCAGCCCCATGGAGTGCACGAGGAGCTGCAAATGGGGCGTGCACATGTGAATGAGCTCCTATCTCGATTTATTTAGCCGATATTTCAAGCCCGGGAGGTGAAATGGGTGCTCGATGCTTGCGAAAACTGCACCACTGGAAAGTGCCCTGAAAAAAGGCGCCTGAAATCACCCCCAGCTCCCTGGGCTCCTCAGAACCGCAGGCGCTGATCAGGTGTCCCCAAAAGCACCCAGGGGGCACATGGGGGACCAGAGGGTGGCCCTGGGTGGCACGCATCTTATCCTGCCCTGCCCCGCGCCCTGGCACTGCCACCGAGCCCCGCAAAGCTGCGTTTGGGATTTGGGCGCCTAATTCCTGCTAATTTCCCTGGGAAAGGGGAAACCCGATCCTCTGAGTCAGCTCAGGTTGTTGGGCGATTAGAAAGGCCACCTGGCTAATTACGAGCGGGTGTCTTTGTCACCTGCAGAGCCTCTGGAGCTGCGGTTGATGGGGCGCGGCGGGAGCTGGGGGTTCGGAGGAGGATTTGGGGGGGTGGGAGCAGGAGAAGGAGCTGGAGGCGCTCCCTGCCCTGCTCCGGAGCGCTTGGGGCTGCAACAAGCGCAGCCCCCGCACAGGGAAATGCACATAAATAACTCCCTGTACCCTGATGATCCCGAGACAGCACAGGCTGATCCATGGCGGCCGCAGGGTGAGCAGGATCAGCCGGTGGGGCTGGAAAGCGGCTCAGGCTCAGCCACCCCTCACCTGCACGTCCTGACCTGCGGGGACGTGTCCCTGCCCGTCACCCCTACTCGGTGCCAGCAGGGTCTGGTTCAGTGCCACCCCTGTCCCCTGGCATGGAGAGGATGCATTTTGGGTGCTGCTGTTGGTGGGATGGGGATGGGCCGTGTGTGGGGTGCTCTGGCTCGGGCACTCTGTTCTGGAGCATCTCATGGGTTTTGGGGAGCTGCTCAGCATCTTGTGAGTGTTGGGGAGCCTGCGGGCTCCTCCTCCACCGGCTGTGCCACTCCTGGGCCTGGCGTGGCTGCCGGCTCTGGCAGGAGCGGGATGCTCCGGGGCTG